TACTATGAAAGCAATAATAATAATAACCCAGAACGTATATCACTGGAATCCTCCAAGAGAGTCTTACATATATTGGAATACACGGAAATATTAATAACGTTTAATCGCGAATTTAATCAAAATAAGAACTTCCCTCGCATACATATGATGAAGCGCATATAGAGATTGTGAGCTACAACTGAACACTTCCTTTGGTGCATATTATAGCAATTAAATTCACGCTTGTATTGCTAAGTAAAAACAATCTGTGTCATTAAGATCACGTCTCAGCAAGATTTTCAAGTGACTGCGGGCAAACGTTGAAGGGTAGCACACTCACTCATTGAATCAGAATCTGCATATGTGCATGCGTGCACGCGCCGTTTCTGCATCCACCAGCGTCTGCTCGCATATACAAATGTTTGCCCTTTTGTGCACGTCACACATTATTTGAATCTGCATCCATTAACATCTGTACAACTCATCTATCATCGTGCGCGTGCATATGTGCAGAGGCACAACTGCATGTTACCTCAGCCACCTCCGGACAGCTATTCTGAAATAATAATTCTGGGGATGAGCGCACGCGCTTCTGTGTGTGCGCCTGTGTGCCTCCATTTGGACGTGTGAGGCCTATGATGTCCTGCGTTTGTCGATGAGATAATCTGGCGGAGCATGGACTGACAATTTGATCTATTGATCTGCGTCTTGCTGGCTCACAGGGAGTCTCTGAGTTATAGCGCTGCCATTTCTCCTGGCCACCATTAGTAAAGAGCGATCTCTCTGGGGAGGTGATGCTGCCACAGTGTTAAACACATTTGCTGCAGACCACCCAGAAATTGAAATACATACAGATGACTCCGGCTCCAGTGTTATAACATTCCAAAACTGTCCATGTTTTCTGTCAGCCAGTCACAAAATCTACTATCAGCACTGGTCTGCACACTGTTAGGACACTCAGTTTCTATATACTGTTGCTTTAATGTGCAAAAACAATGTCCGATTCAAATCGTGTTCGGTATTACACGTTCTTGCTGACACAGCATAGAAAATATCTGACCAAAAATGAGCAAAAGATTTTCACAGTTGTTGACAGTTTGACACATTCTAGATTGTACTTGATTACTCCAATATACTGAAGTTGGAGATCCTAAACTACAGGTAACTGATTCATATGTTGATGTCACTTGTCCCATACTTATCATACGCCTGCAATCTCATATATCGACTACTTCTCTCACCCCAACAGGTTGGAGCAGATGGCCCCGCCCCTCCCTGAGCCTGGTTCTGCCGGAGGTTTCTTCCTGTTAAAAGGGAGTTTTTCCTTCCCACTGTCGCCAAAGTGCTTGCTCATAGGGGGTCATATGATTGTTGTGTTTTTTCTCTGTATGTTTTTTTGTACGGTCTACATTACAATATAAATTGTGATTTGGCGCTATATAAATAAAATTGAATTGGAACTGAATTAGCGGTGGCACGGTGGTTAGCACTGTTGCCGCACAGCAAGAAGGTCCTGAGTTCAATTCCACCATCAGGCCGGGGTCTTTCTGTGTGGAGTTTGCATGTTTTCCCTGTGTTTGCGTGGGTTCCCTCCAGGTACTCCGGCTTCCTCGCACCGTCCAAAGACATGCAGCTTATGGGGATAGGTTAATTGATAATCCAAATTGCCACTAGGTGTGAATCGCATGTAGAGTGAATGTGAGTGCGAATGGTTGTCTGTCCCTGTGTGTGTACCCCGCCTCTAGCCTTATGACAGCTGGGATAGGCTCCAGCGTCCCCCGCGACCCTGAAAAGGATAAGCGGAAGCGAATGGATGGATGGAACTGAATTATTATGCAGGATATAGCACTTTTTAATGTAAAGACTTTAATGGGTTAAGCAGTGGTCTGTGTTTGAATCCGCTCCAAAGCCCTGCCCTGGTCCTTCTCCCAGTTTTCCTGTCTACAACTGTTCTATTACAATAAAGGCTAACAGCTTCTAAGAGAAGTATAGCAGGTATTAACTGCACGCTTGGTTAGTGTCAGTTTTGTCTTTGGTATGCCAAAGTATCCTGATGATAGTGAACAAGTTACTCAAGCCCAAGTTGCTCCTGAGTGTGAATGTTATAGAGCACTTAGACATATAAAAAAAGTGCTTGTGCGAATGTGTGTGTAGATGGCTGAATGAGACATGCTGTATAAAGTGCTTTGAGTATTCAAGTAGAGCAGAAAAGCGCTATACAAGACTCGTATGATGGAGCTCGGCTGGCACATGCGGTTTGATTAAGGCAAAAACTAGCATTACTCTCAGTACTGAGACTACTATTATTTAACACAATCCTCTTTTTACTTTTACCCTTCATGTTGATCCACAGCATCACATTAAAAAGATGTGTGGAGGAAGAAGCAAGAGCATCATTGCAGAATGGTTTCAAGCTAAATGCTCGTTTTATCTTTTAATCTTTTCTTTTTTATGAATGCTGGAAGCCACAGTGTTTTTTGTTAGTCCGGTGAAAAGCTAATCTTCTCATCTTTTTGTCTTATGTTGATGGCCTTGTGGTTAACCTCCTGGTAAACACTAAAAGGGCCTCTGCAGTGTTCATTGAAAAGTAGCGTCATCAGAAAGTATTTGGCCAGGAACTAAAGGGCAAAGGAAACAAGGAAGCTTTTTTTTTTTTTTGCTCCCCCACCTTCATCAGAAACACTGTCTCATCACTAAAACCACTAAAAAAACCCTGCTTTATTAATTCAGCATTTTGCAATCCTGCTTATTTTTGAAAATACACAGCTAATCCAAAGAATAGCTAATGTGGGGTGACTGCTTGCACAGCAAATCCCGTTGTTTTTTTAAATGCTCTTGACTTCTTTTTGCTGTTGAGATACTGTGCAGAAAACAATTGAGTGTGTGTCTCTGTGTGTGCACTTGGGCATATCTGTCTCATTGCATTACCACACACAGATCAATAAGGATTCTATTCTTGGCCATTAGATCTTGAAAAAAAGGGATAGCCTGCCTCTCTCACTCTTCCCTAGCTATTCCCCCTCTCTCTCTGCTCTTCCTGCTTTATTGGCCTGTTCTTTCCACGGGCTCACCAGCCAAGCTCTTTCTCTATTTCCCGTCTTTCCCTCCTCCAGATAACACCAAAGGGACATTGTCATCTTCCCAGGTGGACGCTGAAGCCAGAGGCAGAGTGAGTGGTGAGCAGCCAATACGAGGCAGTTTTGGGGGACCACAGAAATGATTGGCTTTATGTCTACAGGGATGAGACATATCCTCAGAGAACACAAACACCGACATGTATCGCACATGTGTACACATCAGTGCACGCCTCCTGTTTGTGCTGTAATTTTCAGTGCTTTGCCACGCTGCCGGGCTGAGGCCCTTGATCTGCCACTTCCTGTAATCCTTCATGGAAGAGGGGTGCAGCCAAATGTCCTGGCAGGCCAACCAGGCAAACAAACACACATATACACACACACACACACACACACACACACACAGACATCGATATCCATGAGAAGCCTCTCATGGCCCGCCAAGGCGCAGATGTGACCATGTGTATCAGCACAGGGAATCCCTGGATGCCTTTCCAAAACCTGCAAACAGCCAAAACTTCAACGAAATCACAACCTGCCACAAGACCCACATCCGGCAGCTCAGCACTGCACAATTTATGAATCGCGAAAGCTCGAACTACACCGCCTGCATCTGCGCCACAGTGGTGTCGCTGTCATCAGATAAAGAGACAGGGCTGACTAAACAGTAAAATAACAGGGGAGGAGAACCAACACCAAGGAGCAGATAGATGACTCCCAATTCACCTTCCACTGACTCTGATAAGACTCTATCTGATCCACATCACTCAAACACAAAAGAGATCCCTCTGTTCATTCAGTTTCAAAGTGACCAATTACAGCCAGCAGGAAACATCTGACAAGATCATTCGATCAAAGTCGCTATATTCTTAGTATAGGCTGACTCGCTATAAACTTCTTCTTCCGACTTTGGAAGTAATGGGTAATGTACCAGAAAGCAAGACACAAGCCCTATTGAGCTTATCCACCTTAACATAGTTCACCTACCAAAGCAGGAATTTCTACTTGTATCTACTAATACAAGTGATCGAATCTGCTCTAGTCCAGTTAAGGTTTATTTTGAATCTGTAAAGCTTTAGGAACATATAGTTATCGCTTTAAAATGTGGTGTTCCTACCATCTCACTCAGTCTGTCTTAAAACATTTAAAAAGGTACACAGGCTGCCCATCTTTTTTTAAAAAAAAATCTGGCAAACACGGTTCAGTAGACTCTCATGCTCATCATCATCCTCCCTTTTTTCCAGTGCAAGGTGAACGAGACTGAGTCACAACCATACCTGCCAGCAGGTGGGAAAGAGGGACAGCCAGGCGGACCGCTCTTCATCACACCGTAATGAGCTGGCAAAGGTTGTCGGACAGGCAGGAGAACACACGGAGGACCTGTAAAAGCGGCCTCACACAGGCAAGTTCGCGGGCGTTCTCTGAAGCTATATGACTCCCCGTGGTGCCATTTCATCGCAAGCTGTTGTCCCTGTTTGTGTTAACGTCCTCATATTGCAAGAAAGCCGATGCGAGCTAACACTTGTGCCGAACGGCAACACGTATTTCAATATGTGGGGTCTGTGCGGGCTTTGCTTTGATTTAGTATTCGGCACAAGGGTGCAAGAATGTAGCACGGTCAAGGTCTAAAAAAACAGCTAAACTGTGAAATTCAGTGAAGGTAAATGTGGTCTATATTTTATGCATTGTCTCGCCTTGGGATAATATGTGGATGTTGGACTTTAAGTTGAAGAGAAATCAAACACTGAAGCTCGCAAACCCAAGAAACCCACCTTTCCAAAATCCCTCTAAGATACTGAAAACCAGCCAACATACAGGAGCGTCTGACAACAGCAGCTGAGGGGACTGTTCACTTACCTGCTGCTGCCTCACAGGGATGCACCTACCCAAAGGAGCTGCCACGGGCCACAGCAGCTCATAGAGGCTCAGCGGCAAGTAAAAGGATACAATCTGAGAGCTCCACTCTGGGTGCCGATGGCCAATATCTTCTGCACAGGGTCAAAAGCCATGGACGACGGCTGATAGGGGAAGCCATGACGGACAGTCTGGTGCGATACGTAGAAAAATGAAGAAGAAGAAAGAAGGGGAAAAAAAAGAAAATGTGTTAGAGAATATCAATTTGCATTTCACAGCAGGGGTGTTGTTTTGTCAGTGGATGCCACACACCTGACTTTGATAAACAACTGGCCCAGATGGATGCAAAGAGTGTTATGACAGAAATATAAAAACTGAAATTGTGAAGACAAGGGAAAATTTAAAAAAAAAAAAAAAAAAAAAGATGGAACAAATGCTCTTTCTGTGCACGGATATCCTTTTCTTAATGATAGGTATGATATTTGGACTCGCTTTTTAGGTTCCTTTTATAATCACTGGCCTAATTTGAGATTTCATCTCTCTCTCATTTCCCTCTTTTTATGTTGTTTTCCTTCTCTCGCCGCCTCCCACGTGAAGTCGTGATAACACTTAAAGTCTGGAAATAAAATACATGGAGAAAAAAAAAAAAACATGGATGAGGAGGAATCAGGTTATGATTAGCTTTTGTTTCTTCTTTACGGTATGCGACGCATTATAAGGTGTTCCTGGTTCACTCTGTGCATTTCTGTGACGGTAGTTTTATGGCATCAGTCAGCCGGCGGTGGGCTGTTGGATTTGTTTGCTTAGTGACAGAAGGCTAAAGTACATTACATAAGAAGCACTCGGTGCAGCACAGACACCTGCCTTCCTTGTAGAGAGACATTACAGAGAGATCCTGTCCAGACAGACAACAAAGGTGCAAGAGTGAGCCTGAAGTCTTGTTCAAAGGCACTTCAATCAGACGTCTTGCTGTTGACAGACATATTTAGGCTGCCGTGGCTATAAAACCTGCAGTCTTTGAGCTGGTCTGTCTAGTCACCAAACCCCAACGTCCCCAAAGCCCTCGGGTATGTTGACATGATTCTAGATTATTTTCCGTGTTTACTTCACGCGCTCTCAACGTAACACTTCTTACTGATGTTAATCTCCCTGGATTTGCACCTTTGTTATGTGACTACTAAAATACACGAGGACAAAAAGTCTTTTAACACACAAAAAAAGACTTCATCGTGCAAATATGCTAAAGCAAATCAATGGCAGTGTCATTTTTTTCCAGCAACCAGACGTAACGAAGGATATCACACATAGATGATTTCAAATATGTAAAAAACATTAGGTGGAATAAGCAAAAAAGCTTCACAAGCACACAATTTAAATATGTTGGGAAATCAATGAGAAGCACACAGTGGGGTCTATTAAAAGGGCAATTAGAAAAGCTGCTGAGGAAACTCTGAATTGACTTAACAGTAGCATGCATGTCATGTAAACTGGACGGGTATTATCCCAATTATCCCAGCTACTACTGTGGTCAATACAGACAGAGGAGGGCGAGCCTTTTTTTAATCTCCCAAGCAGGCCTGCACTCACTTCAGGCGCCATCAGTCCCCAATGATCTGGGGATAAAGTGGTCTGTGTTTAGGTGTGGATGAGGGAGACCGAACGGAGGGGGGGTGCAGGGATGTGTGAAAGAGAAAAGACGAGGGAGAAGAAGGGGGGAATGGAGAGACACTGCGTGGAAAAGACAACACGCACACTGCCACACGCTCGCTTACACACGCACATCAATCACAAACCAGTGTTTTACTAATCCAAACCAACAGATTACGCAAGAGGGGATCAGTTCAGCCCAACCCCTCGATATGACAGTTCATGCCATGCGCACATGCAGAAAACTCCGGGATTTTCACAGAGCACACTGGCGCAACCCTAACCCTACCATACCCCGTGTTGCTCGATGATTTTTAAAAAAGCTCGAAGTAAATTACTTAACAAAAACATAAACAATCGAATAGAAACTTGCAGCTGGTCGGTGCAGCGCACTCGCCAAACAGCATGCGCATCGTAGCTGCCTATGTTGCACTGTTTATGCGCATAGGATGTGATATTTCTGAAACGGACAGGCTGCTCGCCAAATATTCATTAAATCTTTAATGAGCACGTGCTTGTTGTAGTTTAGAAGAAGACTGCAGTGTAAAACGCTTTGCGGCTAATAAATAATTCCGTGGAGCTCCACTTGCACCATCCGTGTTCTGAGATGGGATAAGTGCAAAACATTGCCTGCAATAAATATCATTAGCGCTAAAAGCCAATACGCAAACAGCTGTATGATTGGGGAAAAAACAGAAAAATCTCCAGTCTCGCCCACCTTGCAGAGCTGGAAATGCTCGGACTGGAGGGTCTCCTGGATGAGATGGTTCTCTTGTGGCCCCACTTGGACAGACGGCGTGGAGGAGGACACCTCTTTTAAACCGTCCAGCACCTTCCTGATGTTGAACTTCTTCATTTTCAGACTGCAGAACACAGAATTGAAATCACCCGCAATAATAATGATTTTAAAAAAAGATAAAGGGAATGGCCACTTTATTTCTCTCACACACACGCGTGCGCTCTGTTCCCCCCTGTGGCTCTCACATTTTAGTGCTTATTATTTATCGCAGTCTCCATGCTGGAAAGCTCAACGCGCGCACCGCACAGGTCAGGTCGCCGCTTGAGGTGTTTCTGGAGAGGGGGCGGTGGGGGTGCTGGTGCGTCGGTGTAATTTGCTCCTTGGAGTCCGTGCTGTGCCCCACTGCGTCTCCGTTCTTCCTCTCGGCGTCCCTCCCCTCCCCTCTCGACTGTGTGCGCCGCTCAGCCAAGGCGGAAACGCAGCGCGGCGGCGGCGGCGGTGGCGATGGTGGTGATGCTGCTGCTGCTGCTGCTGCTGACGCTCTTGCGCATGTCTGACAGAACAGGCTTCAACACAAATCCCGCCACCTTGCCAACCCCCTCTCTCTCTCTCGCTCTCTCCCTCTTGTTTCATCGGCCCCAGCGACAACGCCCCCTCCCTCCCCTCCCTGTCACGCACGTATAGTAGGGTTTGCTCCACTGCACCTGGTGATGCTGGTGAGCCTGGGATGCAGCAGCGTTGAGAGAGTCTGTGTGGAGACAGACGAGCAAACAAACCGGGGCTCAGTGCCATTATTTCCAATACACCCTTGCCTTAACCTCTCCGCCTCTTTTTATGTGCTTGCGTGGAAGATTCGCCATATTAAGGGTCACGCACGACAGATGATGGATGTGGAAATCAGTTGTTTTTTTTTTAAACCAAAGAAAAGGTTGTGCCAGGCTCAGCAATAAAATACAGTCACAACAATAATAGAGCTGCATTTTGAACAGTTTTTGGGGGGCTTGGAGAAAAATGATAACATGAAGGACAAAATCATCCACTTTCAATCTATATTTAATTTTTTAGGATTTCTTGTTCCTTCTTTTTAAAGACGTTATTGCGCTCCCTGTGCGGTTTGATTTCATTATTTATTTATTTTTGGCGAATGCTGCAAGGAGCGTTTGCAGAGAGGGGGCCACGTTAAGTAGCCCAACAGCTGAGCAAGCAAATGCGTCTATCAGTATCCATAGCAATGACTGTGTCCATCCTAGTGGAAGTTTACGCGCTCAACCAAGCTCCACGGCTACAACACAAGAGCAAGACTTCACAGTCCAAAGCTGATGAAGAGGAAGGAGTTTGGAAATGTCTGGAACCGTGTGACATGTATGTCTCTCAAGACAATAAATCTAATCTTTATCATTCTGTTTAAGATTAGATGTTGAACAAATACAAATGTTTAATCCTACTTCTTTTAAAGGAATTAACACTAATGTGTGTTTGCTGTCTTTATAGATTTGAGACTAACATTCACATGAGTCAGCAACAAAAGAGGGGCTCTGACTTTAGCTGTTCCACACACCTTTTCTGAAAGAACTTTCATATTTGCCATCTAGTGGATATATTGAGGGATAGCATGCCAGACGGTTGAAAGCTTTGAACTATGGAGGGTGTATGTCCCACCACCAAAGCATGGACATGCTCCAAAGATTCCGTGACATATGATTGTTAATACCTTGTGTGTATCAGACTGGTGATAGACTGGTGAGTATTGAAGAGCTGGACTCTGACCCTTCAAATCTACCAGTACAAAAAGATTTGTGCAAACAGCATTTAGATAGTCAATCCAATTCAGTTTTATTTCAATAGCACCAAATCAAAACATAAGTCACCTCAAAGTGCTTTATGTTGTAAGATAAAGACCCTACAGTAATACAGAGAAAACAGCAACAATCAAGTGCCTCCCTTTGAGCAAGCAGTTGGTGACAGTGGGGAGGGAAAACTCTCTTTTAACAGGAAGAAACTTCTAGCAGAACAAAGCTAAGGGAAGGGCGGCTATCTGCTGCGACCAGTTGGGGGTGAAGGGAGGAAGACAGGATAAAAAAATACTGTTTTTATACACTTCTGTAAACCTTTTTCACCTCACACCTAGATTAGCCAAGGCTTGATTCATGAGCTCACAGTTGCCCTTAAAGAGTAATAACATATAAAATATGTCTCCACATAAACACAGTCACTTCACAGAGTCCCGTGATCACACCTATTCGGTAGCTTGTGCAGTCTGTAGTCTACCAGGAGCAGCTGCTATCGAGATCTAGCACTCACACAACTTTAGCACCAGGTACGATTCTCCTGAGCACTGAAGTGAGTTGAGCGCAGCACCCTGGTACAGCTGTGTATGTAAGGTCACAGATGAAGCACGAGCCTTGACAAGCTCATGCTTGAGTGACACAAATGTTGCCACCTGTTTGGGTTGTTTGCTAACACTCTCATCTTAGACAGGTGCCCTCGAGCAGCATGTGTGCAGCAGTGGAAGTAATAGCTGTGTGTCTGAACTCGCTAGCACCTGATGCCATTTCTGTCTTAAAGTGGAGAAAGTGGGGGGGGGGATGCATTTCTGCGACTCCTGCAACAGCATATTGTTAATCAAAGCTGATATAATGAGCTGGTCTATATGTGCTTTTATGTAAGCAGTCCTTTAAGTGAGCTCGGTTTGATGCAAAGGATGCATCGAGGAAATGAAGGCGCTGTTGAACAAGACAAATCAAAAACATCTGAAGAGGACCAAAGGGAGAGGGAGCAAATTATGAAATCAGCAATCATACCAAGTTGGCTCGAGAACAATTGTTGCCACGTTGATTTGCATAATGAACTGAAATTGACCGTGTAGACCTTCCAACCCCAACCGATATCTCCTGATCCAGAATACATTATGCCGCCAAACAAAGAGGTCCTTATTAGGTGATGCTTGCATGCATGTGAGTGTGTGTTGTTGGGCTCACATGGTGACACTGACATCAGTGATTTAATTTGGCACCATTGTGTTGTAGCCCGGCCATTCATCTGGCTACGCCATGTGTGTTTGTGTGCGTGTTGTATTTAAAGTGGTTTGTGCTCTTTGTTAAGGCTACCGAGGCAGCGCAGTGTGCGAGGACTTTTTAGGAGTCAAAATGTAAATAAAGCAGGATTCAAGGGATTTATAATCCCATGTAACATCTAAGATATACAGTAATAGTTCCTAATATGGTTTTTCTTGATGATTTCTTTTGATTTCTGCAAAGTCTGAAACAGGTTTTCGCACTATGTCCATTCTTTTGGGCCATTAAGGACTTCTTACCTTAAGAACTTCCTGTAAGACCGGAGGTGAATAGGGTGCACAGTCATTAATTTGCAGGAAAAGAATGTTTCAAAGTTTATTTACCCTCCTAGGACCTGGCGTCCACATATGTGGACATCACATTTTGGGTTATTTAGACCAAAATACTCAATTTTGCTCTCCTAGGGACTGATATCCACGTACGAGGACGTTGTACTGCTACTGTTCTATCAAAAGTTTAAACAAATATCCTCATATGTGGCTCTTATTTTTCTTAAAAACCAAAATAAGGTAAAAAAAAATAAAGAATCTGGTAATTCTTTGTTTTTACATTCATCGGGCCCCAATATGCCCAAATATCAAAGAGAAATTAAAAATGCATGCTGTGGAAGAGTTCGGGTCTTAGGAGGTTAATGTAAATTAAAAAGAATTAAAAAATAAGTGTACATGTCACATTTTTGTTTTAGACATGCATGTACCAGCCAATCATGGTTCTCTACTAGGCACTTGCCACTACTTGTTATCAACGTATTGAGATGTCCCCATATTTGAAATATTTTTTCCTAGAACTGTATCATGAAGAAACATAGAGGCGTAGTAAAAAAAAAAAAGTGAAAAAAAGTAATGCCAAGAAAGTGTTTCCCTGGGAGTAATGACAGTATACAAAAAAACAAACAAAAAAACTGCAAAGCTTGGACTGCAATAACCCAAGTTGTGAATGTTGTGTCCCTTGAGACAAAGATTGCAGCTAAGGTAAAAAAGAAAAGAAGAGCAGACCAGAAGAAAAAGAGGGAAGGAGGCACTGGATCTGTCAGCTTAAGTCAAGAAACTCACCCCAGTTTCTGGACAAACATGCATTAGTGGGGTACGTGACGACATCCATACAACGGGCATACTTTCTATGGCCGTTTCATGTATTTGGCTGCACACACACTGATTAAGCCTAAATTTGTATCTATGCGCTCTTCATGAACGATACCCAGGAAGAGAACCGCACGTGGGCCAGTTACAGTAGAGCACAGCTTCTTGCTTCAGTGGTCCCTCCATTATCTGCGAAAAACCATCTAATGCTGCTGACCCAGCTATATATATGCAAACTGAGCTGTTATACACACAGAGACTCTGAGCCTATTCACTGCTCATTCCAGATCAGAGATGATCAGCACTGATATCTATTTTAAGCAGTTCTGAAGAAACAAATCTTAGACTCAAAATACATATTTTATGCCTCTAATTTACACATACCCAGTTGTAAAACATGTTGCTGGACAGCAGATTACAAAGAAAATTGAAAAAATCCACCTCAGCATGCAAATTTGCATATATTACACAGATGTTTGGATAAAATTTATAAATATGCATCTTTATCCTACATACATACATCTATCTGCATAATGCTGCTGCGATCCTGTAAAAAAAAGGATTGACCATTCTGATTACGTATCAATATATGTACTTTATCCTCAAATAATACACGTATGCCCTAAAAGTAAGTCTCTTTACACATAAAATACCTCAAGTGGATTTCAGCCCCTTAAAATCTTACTGACCTAACAGGGATGCACCTTGTCACATGAGCAAAGATGAGCCTTCCCTAGCACCACAATATGCCGTTTCAGAGCTCAGCATCACAGTAAGCCCTATATGACCCTTATACCAACAAAGTCCCTGTGCTGTCTGGCAAAAGTGAAAAACCCAGAGGGAGGCAGGGGACAATGTCAGGTTGCAGAGAGTTGAGGCGTCTGCCTGTCATGCAGAAGGACTGGAGGGACAGCACCCTCTGCCCTCACTGACAGCTGTAGTTAATCAAGCGAATCATAGCACACCTGAGTTTAATGCTTATGACCCAAACCCTCCCTGCAGCATTCAACTACTGTTTCCTTATACAAGCACTCTGACAAATGACAGGACGTACAACATCATTACACAAAGCCTTTACGTAACTCACACACACACACATAACGCTGGGAGCTTGTGACTGAAAGGAACCAGCAGACGAAGCTCACGACAGTTTTTGGCAATGAGAATGCCAAACTCACCGCTCAGTAGTCAGGGAAGCTAAGAGGGAAGCTATCTAGCTAACAAAGCCACGCGTGATACACACATACACTAGAGCAGTCCCAGAAGGATTGACTTTAATGAGCAAATGCCCTTGAGAAAACATTTGATTGTTTCTGCCTGGCTAAATGGGAGGATGTTTCAGCGACAAATGTTCAGCGCACAAACGCACGTGTTGGCGCATAACACGAGGAAGGTAACA